GGTCCGCGAGTTCGCAACCGAATCGGAAATACTGACGATTGTTGTGAAACGGGGCTCAAAGTCGGGCACTCGTATGGAGTTTGCCGGTCGTGGGAACCATCCCTACTATTCCTGTGCCGAAGACATCATGTTTGTGCTGAAAGACAGGCCCGACAATCGGTTCCGACGCCACGGCAATGATATCGTATACACGGCTCGCATCCATTTGGTCGACGCGACCGTTGATCAGCCAATAGCTGTGCCGTTGCCGTCCGTTCGGACACTGGATGTGTCGCTCGATTGGCCCGACATTAACCGGTTGTTCAATCATCGCAAGTGTCTTATATTGAAAGTGGGTTTAGGACTTCCCGATGGCAATAATGCCGCCATTAAAGGAGATCTAATCATTGAATGTGTCATCAATTGATACCCAAATGGTTATTATCAATGATTATTGTGTCTCAAAGTTATGCTTTCATTATTTGTTTAGTTAATAAAATTAGTTTTGATCCACAATTCAGTCAAAAAGTTTTTTGATAAAGTTTTATAACTTTTATATGCATTGAAAGCAATGATCAGACAATCCCTTCACTTATCATATGTTTTCACATTTTGTTTACATTTTTTGCCACAAAATTATTCATTAGTTTTTGACTGAATTTGTGTTCAAATTAATTGTGAATTAGTTTTAAATGTGATTTTGAATACAATTATGGATTCAATGATTAGTATTAATGATATTTTGGATGAATTAATGGTTGAAAACAAATGACTTTTACATGAAATTCAATGTTTATGTGAAATGAAAACACATTTAATTAAAATTCATTCAAAATATGAAACACTTATCGATTCAGAAGACAATCAACACTTCCGGACATTATCTCAAACATTGGATCAATTGAATGGTCAGATGATTACCTCAAATGCTAGTCATTATAACAGTGGATCTAATGATCTCAAGAGTCCATCAAATGATCAACAATTGAATGAACGAAGAGATGAAACACAAGACATGAATGAAGACATGTCTGAAGACTCGGATGACAGCAATGGTTGCGATTTGAGACCAGATATTAAAGAAGAGCCGAACGATAATTCAGTGGAACCGATGAATGCAATGAAGAGTTTAATCAATACTAAACTGCAATCGCTTTTGAAAAAGAGTGTAATTTCGTCGACATCTCAGTCATCACCACAAGAGCTGGTCTGCAAAGACATGAGTGGAAAACAATTGATCCCAAGAAGTGGTCGAAAAGTAATTCAAAACACCATAAGTAAAGACCCGATGGATGTAATGAAAGCTAAACAACAGTTGAAGAGATCATCACAAGAGTTGGTCTGCGAAGACATCATTGAAGATAGTAGTGAAGACTCGATGGAAGTAATGCTAGCAAAACAACAGTTAAAGAAATTAGATCTCAAAGATAGCGATGAAAGCATTGATTTGATTACAAATACATTTATTTGTCCCATAAATAAATGCCAAAGAAGTTATCAAACTATCCATCAGTTCGATCGCCACTTGAGATCAGTTCACAAAACAAGACTTACTTTAAGAAATAAAATATGGTAAAACTTTTTTACAAATCAAATTAAGTATAATTTTAGTTTATTTAATAATTTATTATATCATATAATGGCTAAAAGGCATTCAAATGAAGAGGTATTTCTTGGGATCAGTTTCCAAAACAAATATCTTAAGCAAAGTTTTGTGAAAATTATCTGAAAAATAACTGTATATTACAAATACTGTAAACCATTTTATAATATACGGTATAATTGTGTTCACGTTTGACAACAATTAACTGATTTACACCTAAAGAGTGATATAAAGAGATATAAAGTTTATTTGATTTTAAAACTCTATTCAAAACGGTTTAAACAGTCTTTCAATTCAAAGTAAATATCCGTTTAAATCACAGATAAAACTCTTGGAAACCATTTTCACAGACAATCAACTCATTGAATCAGTTCTCAATTCAATGAGCGGTAACGAAGACAATGAGGACGTTTTGGCCGCCGATTTGCAACGGCTGGCGGTGGACGACAAATACAAGCACTTGAGTCGCGACACAAAGAAAGCCATTGTCGGCGAAGAGAAGCGCATCCAACGGCTGAAAGACAGGTATCGGTATCTCTAAAGTGATAACAATTTAATTCAATGTTTTGGCTTTCAATCCAAAGATACCGCAATCGCGACGACAACGAGTCCACCGATTACTGGCTCCACAGCGACGACCGACACAACAAGAAGAGTCGCCGAGTGGTGGTCAATGTCGAGCACCCGTCGGGCGAACCGGACGTATACCTGTCGGCGAAGATCTCGAAAGCGGTGAACGCCCACCAAATCGGTGGCATTCGCTTCATATACGACAATGTCGTGGAAACCATTGCTCACTTCAAAAAGACCCCCAACAGCGACGGCTTTGGTTGCATTTTGTCTCACGCCATGGGTTTGGGAAAGACATTACAGGTCAGGCATACCCTCCCCTTTCCTCTCCTTAACCGTAGTTCAAGTGCTAACCAGTTGTCTGTCACCAACAGGTCATCGGTTTCTGTGAAGCGCTTTTCGAGCACAAGATTCTCAAGAAAGACAATCGAGTCCTCATTATCGCTCCGGTGGGCACTCTTGCCAACTGGTCCGCGGAGTTCAAGAAGTGGTCGCCACTCAAACACCGGCCGTACACTTTGTTTGTGGTCCACTCTTCCGAGTCATACCTGCGTCGGGCGCGAGAAGTGGAGGAATGGCGAGATAAGGGCGGCGTTTTGCTCATCGGTTACAAGATGTTCAGAGGGCTGACCAAAGACAACGACTTCAAGACCAAACAGTTTGCCGGTCAGAAGCCGGAAGTGTTGAGCCGTACTCTAAGCCAATTACGCGCCGCTCTCTTGAGTCCGGGACCAGATGTGGTGGTCTGTGATGAGGGCCATCGCATCAAGAACTACAAGACACAGTCGGCGAAGTCATTGAATGAGATCCAGACTCGACGCCGGGTTGTGTTGACGGGAACTCCACTGCAGAACAATCTGATGGAGTACTGGTCAATGGTTGACTTCGCGCGACCCCATTATCTTGGCCTTCAGAAGCACTTCAAACTGATTGTTGACCGACCGATACGGGACGGACTGTACGCCGACTCCACCGCCGATCAGATCCAACTCATGCGGGAATTGACTTACGTTCTGCACGAGAAGACCAAAGGGTTTGTCCAGCGGTAAGACAACTGTTGATGAGGTGTCGCGTTCTCTACCACTCATTATCTTTGTTTGCGATTCACAGCCGAAGCCACGATGTGTTTGAAAGAGTGCTTCCGTCGAAACTGGAGTTCAGAATTCACATCCGTTTCACTGATATACAGAAGCGACTGATGAAGGCGTTGATCGGAACAGCTATCGACAAACCCGAAGAGATCGGTTGTATGGACGGCAAAATGGTATCCATTCTGACACTCTTCGCCATCTGCTCCAAGATCTGGAACCATCCGGACGTCATTCACGACGTGGTGGTCAACAACAGCAAAGACAGGGCGCGGGTTCAGGACTTGGACGCGCCCGACAACGACGACGACGGCGACGAAGCGCCCGCTGAAGAGCCCGTCCAACGCAAAGCCAACTACGGGTTCGCCGAAGAGATACTTAACGGCTATCAACGGGGAGTGATTACCAACTCATACAAAATGGTGCTCTTATTGGAGATCATCTCAAAGAGTCTCATGAAAGGAGATAAGGTGTTGGTGTTTACCCAATGGCTGTCAACTTTGGACACCATTGAGGACTTCATTGATGGCAAGAAACTGGCGAAGAGTAACGATAAATGGCGTAAAAGAGTCACGTATTACCGATTGGACGGCTCGACACCCGTTAAACAACGCGAGACTGACATCGAGCGCTTCAATACCAACAAAAAGGCCAAATTGTATCTCATCTCTACCCGAGCGGGTGGTCTGGGCATCAATCTTACCGGCGCTAACCGTATTGTCGTGATGGACGCCGCGTGGAACCCATGCCATGACAGTCAGGCCGCCTGTCGTGTGTACCGATACGGACAGGTATGCGAGACATACGCTAATAATGAACTCATTTCGCAGTTAATTGACTTTTTTTGTGTGCGGTTTCGCAGCGGAAGAAGTCTTATATCTACCGATTTATTTGCGACAATTCACTGGAGAAGAAGGTCTCGAATAAACAGGTTTGCAAACAAGGAATGGCCCGTCGAGTAGTGGACGGAAAGACTGTTAGATCAGTCATCTCGTTGAAAGACAGCCAATCGCAGATCAAAGAGCTCCGCACTATCGAAGAACCGGCGGTCCAGTCGTACCCAAAGAATGTGTTGTCGCCGTTGAAAGACAATCACTTGGAGCTAATCTGTGGCAAATTCAATCACGCGATCACAACACTCCCCGAACCGTATGACTCGCTTTTGGAGGAAAGGGTGGACCAGATTCTGACCGCCAACGAGAAGGAGAGTGCGGTCCGCGGCTATGAGACCAGAGAGAAGACTATATCTCATTAAGTGAAACATTTATTGTCGCAAACATTTTGTATCATTTCATACGACAAATATTTTATTTATTGTAGAATTTTTGAATTCAATAAAATTTTTTAAACACAAATATTTATTTTATTGTAAAATTTAGTGCCATTTACTTATCAAATGACTCTTTAATTAGTAATTATTATAATTATCTGCAATTTATGAGAAAATTGTAATTCAATTAACAATTTAAAACATATCATTAAAATGTTGTTAAAAGTGAGGGCAATATATGTGAACGAATGGCAGGACTTAAAAATCAAATGCAAAACTTATTAGTAGTTTTTAAATGCGTTAAATATAGTTAAGAAATTTAGTGAACAATTCAGCGCTGAAACAAACTAAACAAACAATAAATCCAATGCCTATTATATTGAATGAAAAGACAAAGTTTGAAAACGTTAAGACACGATACTCTCCGTCAGTATTTGTAATGTTTTTATAGTCAACGCCTTTATATAAATTGCGGTTATGTTTGCGTTTTGCTAATGATTTAAATCTCAAGTAAAACATCACCTCTTGTTTCGCAAAATACTGATAGACACCGAACTGATGGACAGTTTTGATCCTAACACAGGATTAAATGCCGTAATTTAATGACAATTTATTGCCAAATAATTACTGAATTATTTGGGATAAGACTTACATTTTAATCAAACGATTCTTAATATTTGGATCCATTGTTTTCCGTAATATATAGCTATAATAATAGGGATATTCATTCTTCGCGGTCACTGACAGCTTGTATTGGTTGTAATGGTTGAACAAATTGTCGATCTCGAGTCTGGAGCTGACCAACACATACCGGTGTGACAGTACCCGGGCTATTGTCTTAAAGCTATACGTTTGTAGGTATCTAATGGTACGTATTCTGTGATCAGGAAATTTGTAAACCTATTTGTTTAACAAAATAAATTATTTAATAATTTATTATAATATTTAATAATTTTAAATAAGTGACTAACTTTTTGAAGTAATACCATAGCGTTTGATTTACTAACGCTTAATATTTTAACATTGGTTTCATGTAATAACTCTTGAATTGTCTCAATTTGATGAACTCTTTGCGATACCATAAACGAGAGGACATTGTTTTGCATGAATATCATGAGTACCAGCGATGAGACAATCCATAAAAGCATTAAATAGTTTTTGTAATACTTTTTAATTTTAATCCCTAATTATGATGAACATATTAATAAGAGATTTATTAATTATTTCACCACTTCATACCTCTTCCCAAACATATGATCAGATAATCAATGGCTAAAAATACATTTTGTTTCCAATGAGTAATTGGATAACAATTAATACATATGATTGTGAGATATGATAAAAACATTAAAATCCAAATCCATTTATCAAAACCACTCATTAATGTTAAGAAATTTGTGTCGACAATAACTCGAGGACTGCTCAGTATAGACACCGATGCCTCCGATGACAGCATGTAAGCCCAGTCCACTACCGATGATCTGATGAGCTTATATGTAAAGGTTGTCAAATGAAAGTCAGCCAACTATTCACGTAATAGTTATTAATATGTAATTAATTTATAGAAAGTTAGAAAAATTATGATTATATTGGTTTAAAACTGACATTTCTATGAATGAGACCAATAGCTCCGGTCCACGACCCGTTCCTCAACCGACTTCCCCCGTAATTACTTGAAATACTTATTGTAGTTCTTTGACAATAATCGGGGTTAAAGTTTTAATAAAGTTATGTTGATTTATTAATATTCTTACCTTAATTTAAACACATTTTCAATAATCTCTAATAGGTATAAAAATTTGTGACAAAACACCACAGAATCTGAATATTTCTTGAAAACCTGTTAAGTGAATAATTTTTAAATTAGTTTTATGTTTAATTAAGTTAAAACATTTATACCTCGTTTGAAAAAATTCCAATTCTCAGGTCATAAGTGGTATTTTGTGTGATATTATTGAGATATAACGGCCTTTTCACACAGATTTTGTCCATTTGTGCTAAACTCTGGTTAAAACTTTATAAAAACCATAAATGTTAATAATATGATGTTATTCTAGTTACAAAATATTCATTATGGTATTATTAATCTATTTATATCATAATTGTTAATTTTTATGAACAAAAATAATCAATATTATTGTCAATAGATTTAATGAATGAATATAATTAGATTCAATTGAATGGTAAAAATTAATTTCAGAAAAGTACAGAAATGTACGAAAATGTACGGAAAATACTTTTTAATTAAATATTTGATTTCTGTTAAAAACAATTAGAAATAAATTTTCATGGTTTAATCAATTTAGTCATATTTTTGTATGCTTTGGTTATAATCAATAATTTTGTTGTAACTACTAACATATTGATCAATTAATATAATTCCTTACCTAGCTTTTATTAGTTAGTAATCATAAATACCGTGATATATTTTCAATACATATAATAAGATCAATAAAACACAAACCAAATTGGATTCCAAAAAAATAAACACAATTTCAATGAGAAAACAAATTTATTAATCACTTTAAACCACAATTATTATGCAATCTTATAATTAATTTCATTATTAATACCACGATTAATGAAAATTCAAATAACAATATCAGTCTTCGCAAACTTATCGTAGAGAGTGATCCGATGCCACTGTTCAATGGGGTCGCCCTTAAAGTCCACTTTAGGCACGGGTTGGGGCTCACAATAGGCCGCCCACTGGTA